AGACCATTCATTTTTGGTATAAAGAAAGTCAACTTTTCTTAGCCATTGAATGTGAAATCTAACATATTAAATATATCGTAGCTGTAGAGAAAACTTGTTTTGAACTTTGTGCTCAATTAGTGTCATATTACTGAAACATCCCATTTTACATGCCATGATTGACAATGATTGTGACCTTCTGATATAAAAAGTAAATGGTCTCATCACACATACACATATATGGGTAGTGATCTCATGCGACGTTTGTATCACAGTATAATGCAACCACACTTCTAAAAAACTATGTTTGTGGTTTTTGTACAACTCAAAATTTTTCACACTCTCATCATCTCAATAATCAACCCCCATCCAAACAAAGTTCAATTTGAACCCTAGATATGTTCAGAATGAGTCCCCTCTAATAACGAATCTAGACCATTCATTTGTTGAATTTCAATATCTTAGTCTTTACAAACTCAAAATATATATATATTTTTTGATATTTTGACATTGTTCATCTAATGATAATAAAGCCGTCTAAAAAAATTGAAAAATAAAAAATTCTTCTAAGGCCTAGATCTAAGCATCTTATCAAAATGGACGGCCCATGTCAATTGGGCTAACAAATTACTTTCTAGGTTATGCTTTCAAATTTTTCTTCTTTGTGATTGTTCATTAGCATGAAAAGAGTATATATTTTAAAAATTGGATCAAATAAATGCCACTAACATTGTTTTTTAAGTTTGTTGCATTATACTATGATATGACTGTATAGTAATATAAAGCAACGATATTAAAAAACCATGCTAGGACCATTTGTTTGATCCAAATTTTAAAATATATAATCTTTTCATTCTAATGAACAATCACAAACAAATATAAACTTGGAAAAGCAACATCTAAAGTATTTTTTTAGCCCAATTAACATAGGCTGTCCATTTTGATAAGATGCTTAGATCTAGGCTTTAGAAGGATTTTTTTTCTTTTCCAAAATTTTTAGATGGTTTTATTATCATTAGATGAACAAAGTTAAAAAAGAAAAAAATGATTTTGAGTTTATAAAAGCTAAGATCTTGCAATTCATCTAATGAATGGTCAAGATTTGTTGTTGGAGCGGACTCATATTGACCATATCTAGGGGTTCAAATCAAACTGATTTTTTTTTTTGGGATTGATTATTGAGATGAAGAGAGTGTGTGCAAAATTTTGGATCATACAAATCCACAAACATGGTTTTCTAAAAGTGTTGTTGCATTATAGTATGATACAACTGTTGTATTAGATCATTGTCATATATATATATATATATATATGTGTGTGTGTGTGTGTGTGTGTGTGTGTGTGTGTGTCGAGGGTTATGTTAGGGTACTCACACTATGGAGTAATTTATTATTGTACTAAACAAAATTTGGACATATATATACTATTATTTTGAATATGGAGTTTTTTTTAGTAAGAGTATTTTTGGTAATTAGGAGGTGTGTGATGTCTCCTACATGATGTGTGATATCATCCACACAGAGCATTAGATGCTACTAGTATGCTCCATGTGAATGATGTCACACCTTATGTGGACGACGCCACACCCCTCATAATGACAAAAAATACCCATATTTAAAAAATGCTTCATGTACAAAACAAAGGTATAAAAGTGCTTAAAATTATTGAGTATAATGATAAATTATTCTATAGTATAAGCACCTTAACATAACCCACATATATAGGGATAATCTATAATTTACAACTCTTCAAATTACAAATGTTGATGTTAGAGTGAATTGTGATGCGCGGATCTATTAAATATGATGTGTCTTTTTAAATGAAGTTACTTTGTATGATATCTTACTTATCAAGTAGGGATATTCGTGTAAATATTATTAAAAGACAATGGATACTTTTATCATTTTCATAATAGGTAAAGTTGAAATTCTTATTTAAAAGATAATGAGTACTTTTTTCATTTTCATAAGAGGTAAAATTGAAATTCTTACTAAATGACAATAGTACTCTAAAAATAAAGTTCAAGACAGTAACTTTCAAAATATAATTGTATTTTTGTAAATTTATTTAATTTATCCTTACTTAATGATTAAAGTTACCTACTAAAATAATTTTTACTACTAATCTTTATATTTTGAGGGATTGTTAATTCTAGACAAAACTACACACACACATATGGGAAGTGATTTCATACAACAGTTCTATACTAATATAATGAAACGATCTTTAAAACTATGCTAGAGCTATTTATTTGACTTCAATTTTAATATATATATATTTTTAATTTCAATGAACAATCAAAAAACAAAAAAGGAAAATTTGAAAGCATACCCTAAAAAGTATTTTTTGGCCCAACTAATATAGGCTGTCTATTTTAATGAGATGCTTATATCTAGGTCCTATAAGGATTGTTTTCCTTGTTAAAATTTTTAGATAATTTTTATTATCATTAGATTAATAATTTTTTTTTTTTTAAAAAAATTGATTTTGAATTTGTAAATACCTAAATCTTAAAATTCATCAAATGGATGGTTTAGATTCATGGTTAGAGAGAACTCATTTGGACAATATTTAGGGTGCAAATTGAAATTTCTTTATCTTGAAATTGATTATTAGGATGAAGTGTGTGTGTACAAAATTTGTGGTCAAACATAGGCCATAAACATGACTTTTTACAAGTGTGGTCTCATTATATTGTAATGACGATATGATATTATTCTTACACACACACACACACATATACACACACACACACACACATATATATATATATATATATATATATATGGAAATGATCTTGTGAGCCAGTGGGCTCACAAGTAAAAATGAGCCCAATGACCCAAATTGAATCTGAGCCGATCTGATGATTACATATGCCTGATAGTATTTGAATTTTAATTTTTTTTTCTACAGATTCAAATCACTTAAAATTTTAAGTGTGTATTTATAAAAAATAGAAAAATCTTTGAAAAATATCAAATAAATATTTTAAATGAAAACAGTTGACCAAAATATCCCTATAAAGTTTCAAGGGTATTTTGATCAATTTTATTTTTACAGATTATTATTATTATTATTTATTAGGTGAGGCTTGATTAGAAGAACAAACACCTAAAATTTTAAGTGATTTAGATTTATAGAAAAAAACTTAAAATTAAAACATTACCGGACATCTGTGATCGTCA